TCACTCTCTCTCTGTGTGTGTCCATCCCTCACTCTGTGTGTGTCCATCCCTCACTCTCTCTCTGTGTGTGTCCATCCCTCACTCTGTGTGTGTCCATCCCTCACTCTGTGTGTGTCCATCCCTCACTCTGTGTGTGTCCATCCCTCACTCTCTGTGTCCATCCCTCACTCTCTCTCTGTGTGTGTCCATCCCTCACTCTCTCTCTGTGTGTGTCCATCCCTCACTCTGTGTCCATTCCTCACTCTCTGTGTGTGTGTTCATCCCTCTTTCTCTCTGTGTGTGTCCATCCCTCACTCTGTGTGTGTCCATCACTCTCGCTGTGTGTCCATCCCTCTCTCTTTCTCTCTGTGTCCATCCCTCACTCTCTCTCTGTGTCAATCCATCCTTCTCTTTTGTTACGATCAAAGGGAACAAGAAGGTGCTCGGTGTAGTCGGCACTTTGCTCCGTTCATCATTTCAGTTTTTTTGTTTTTTAATGCTTTGCTTTATGTAACCCCCCGCCCCCCTTTTAAATGAAAGACCCAACAACAAAATATTCTTTTTTTCTGCTCTCCTTACCCCTTCCCTCTCTCTCTACCCCCCTCTCTGCCCCTCCTCTCTCTCTACCCCCCTCTCTGCCCCCCTTTCTCTCTTCCTACTCCATTTCGCTCTCTTTCGCTCTCTTTTTTATAACTACGACAAGTGCTGCACCTGCACGCAGCCCTGTGTCCATCCCTCACTCTCTCTGTGTGTTAATCCCTCACTCTGTGTGTGTGTCCATCCCTCACTCTCTGTGTCCATCCCTCTCTCTCTCTGTGTCCATCCCTCACTCTCTCTCTGTGTCCATCCCTCACTCTGTGTGTGTGTCCATCCCTCACTCTGTGTGTGTCCATCCCTCACTCTGTGTGTGTCCATCCCTCTCTCTGTGTGTGTCCATCCCTCACTCTCTCTCTGTGTGTGTCCATCCCTCACTCTCTCTCTGTGTGTGTCCATCCCTCACTCTCTCTCTGTGTGTGTCCATCCCTCACTCTGTGTGTGTCCATCCCTCACTCTCTCTCTGTGTGTGTCCATCCCTCACTCTGTGTCCATTCCTCACTCTCTGTGTGTGTGTTCATCCCTCTTTCTCTCTGTGTCCATCCCTCTCTCTGTGTGTGTCCATCACTCTCGCTGTGTGTCCATCCCTCTCTCTTTCTCTCTGTGTCCATCCCTCACTCTCTCTCTGTGTCAATCCCTCCTTCTCTTTTTGTACGATCAAAGGGAACAAGAAGGTGCTCGATGTAGTCGGCACTTTGCTCCGTTCATCATTTAGTTTTTTTGTTTTTTAATGCTTTGCTTTATGTAAACCCCCTCCCCCCTTTTAAATGAAAGACCCAACAACAAAATATTCTTTTTTTCTGCTCTCCTTACCCCTTCCCTCTCTCTCTACCCCCCTCTCTGCCCCCCCTTTCTCTCTTCCTACTCCATTTCGTTCTCTCTCGCTCACTCTCTCTCGCTCACTCTCTCGCTCTCTCTTTTTTATCACTACGACAAGTGCTGCACCTGCACGCAGCCCTGTGTCCATCCCTCACTCTCTCTCTCTTTGTTAATCCCTCACTCTCTCTCTGTGTGTTAATCCCTCTCACTCTCTCTCTGTGTGTTAATCCCTCTCACTCTGTGTCCATCCCTCACTCTCTCTCTGTGTGTGTCCATCCCTCACTCTCTCTGTGTGTTAATCCCTCTCACTCTCTCTCTCTCTTTCTGTGTTAATCCCTCTCACTCTGTGTCCATCCCTCACTCTCTCTCTCTGTGTCCATCCCTCACTCTCTCTGTGTGTTAATCCCTCTCACTCTCTCTCTCTCTTTCTGTGTTAATCCCTCTCACTCTGTGTCCATCCCTCACTCTCTCTCTCTGTGTCCATCCCTCACTCTCTCTCTCTCTGTGTCCATCCCTCACTCTCTCTGTGTGTTAATCCCTCTCACTCTGTGTCCATCCCTCACTCTCTCTGTGTTAATCCCTCTCACTCTGTGTCCATCCCTCACTCTCTCTGTGTGTTAATCCCTCTCACTCTGTGTCCATCCCTCACTCTCTCTCTCTCTGTGTCCATCCCTCACTCTCTCTGTGTGTTAATCCCTCTCACTCTCTCTCTGTGTCCATCCCTCACTCTCTCTGTGTGTTAATCCCTCTCACTCTCTCTCTGTGTCCATCCCTCACTCTCTCTGTGTGTTAATCCCTCTCACTCTCTCTGTGTCCATCCCTCACTCTCTCTGTGTGTTAATCCCTCTCACTCTCTCTCTGTGTTAATCCCTCTCACTCTGTGTCCATCCCTCACTCTCTCTCTCTGTGTGTCCATCCCTCACTCTCTGTGTGTGTTAATCCCTCTCACTCTCTCTCTCTGTGTTAATCCCTCTTACTCTGTGTCCATCCCTCACTCTCTCTCTCTGTGTTAATCCCTCTTACTCTGTGTCCATCCCTCACTCTCTCTCTCTGTGTCCATCCCTCACTCTCTGTGTGTTAATCACTCTCTCTCTGTCCATCCCTCACTCTCTCTCTCTGTGTCAATCCCTCTTGTGGGGGCTACCGTCCCCCGCCATCACCGAATTGTGGGGGCCGTTGCTCCCCGACTCCCCCGTTCCATTCATATCGCTACCCCCCCCCCCCGGTTGTTCTGTGGGGTTCGGGTTAGCGACCGCCACCTCCTCATCCCCCGGGGGCCCCTGACGTCGTTGCCGACCGCGTAGGCAAGGCTCAGTTGGCGTGGTGGAACGCTTGACGGGGCGGGGAGCGCGCTCGCAAAGTAAAAACTCCGTCCCGAGCGTAAACAAACAGGCGCGGCGCGGCGCCGCGTGATTCCCTCGCACCCACGCTCCACGCGCTCCGGCAGTAACACGCACACACACGACGCCACCACCTGCCCAGCCCCGCACGCCAATCACACGCGAGGTGGTCGGGGGTGGTGAGGGGGTCGGGAGGCCAGAGGCGTCTGCCGCGCGCGTGCCGCTGATTGGAGAGGGTCGCTTGGCTCCGATTTTCAAAGGGGCCGTTTAAACAGCCGCGCGAATACGCTCGCGCCAGGCGCTTGGCTCGCTAGCTCGCCGTCAGGCAGTCGCGCAGGCGCGCGACCGCCACACAGCCACGCCGGCACGCGAGCGCTAAGCGCTGCTGTAAACAATCGCACAGGCACGCGAGCGCTGGGCGCCACCGAAATTAGCCACGTGTGTGCACACGCAGAACAAGACTGCAAACAATCGTACAGGTACGCGAACAGCAAGCACGCTCTACCCTCCTCTTCACGCTCCCAAGGACCACACGACACGGTGCATTCCCCGGCTAGTTATTTTTTATTTACCGCGAGTGACCCGTTAAGCTACGCGCAATTGTGTGGGTCAGCGGGTGCCAGCCTCTTCCCCCTGGGATCCTAGGCTGAATTTACTCTGCCTGTCGCTCCGCTCCCCCACTCTCGATTAAATCGCTCAGAACTCGCTTCCCTCTCACTCGCGCTTACTTCCACTCTGCTGCGCTGAACGCTGTAGAGGGACGAGGCTGCGGGTCGTCTCCGTAGAGGGCTGAGCCTGGCTGCGCTGGGGCTCGTCACACGGACGTCTCGAACGGCTGACCCTCCTGCTTTGTGGACCGCGATGATTTGAAGTAGAAGTCTCTCTCGCTATGCTAAGCCCCCCCCCCCTCTGTTATCCACCTGATCGCAAAGGCTTTTCTGTGGTGCTTTCGTTCCTCCACCCGTGCCCTTTGTCCGATCGGTTGGCCGAGTTATTTTCGTCTCTTTCACATTCGGATCTGTAATTTTACCTATAACAAAAGCGTTCCGCTGTTCCCACACCCCGGGCTGCCCTGTCCATTCAGATGTCGGAATGCTCCTGTCTCATTGTTAATGGGGGTCCCTTATTCTACCTATGAGAAAGGCGTATCGCCGTTCCCACGCCCCGTGCCGTGCCGTGTGTGCGTGTGATCTCATCCGCGGTGGCTCTACGCCCCCCGCCGTGACCACGTAATTTCAATATCAGGTCACGGCGCTGTGGTGCGCGTCAGCTACGGGGGGAGATCGCCCAATTTCCCGGCCGCAGGAAACCATGAAGCTTGATCCCATTAGGGGCTTCTGGATAAAAACCCGTCGGCCAGGTGACCTTCCCTCCCGGCTCTACGTGGGGTGTGTGTGTGTGGGGTGTGTGTGTGTGTGGGGTGTGTGTGTGGGGGGTGTCTGTGTGTGGGGGGTGTGCGTGTGGGGTGTGTGTGTGTGTGGGGTGTGTGTGTGTGTGTGGGGTGTGTGTGTGTGTGGGGTGTGTGTGTGTGGGGTGTGCGTGCGGTCGTGCGGGGGGGGGGGGGGACGGGGTGGCAGCGAGGGGCGCGCCGCGTCGGCGTTGTCACCCCCCGGTGGCGGTGTCACGGCGGTGGGCACGGCTCCTGACGGAGCTGCTCCGTCGCGGCGGCACCACTCTGTGTCAATCTCTCTCTCTCTCTCTGTGTCAAGTCAATCTCTCTCACTCTCTCTCTCTGTCAATCTCTCTCTCTCTCTGTGTCAATCTCTCTCTCTGTGTCAAGTCAATCCCTCTCACTCTCTCTGTGTCAATCTCTCTCTCTCTGTGTGTCAAGTCCATCCCTCTCACTCTCTCTGTCAATCCCTCTCACTCGCTGTGTCAATCCCTCTTACTCTCTCTCTCTGTGTCCATCCCTCTCACTCTCTCTGTGTCAATCCCTCTCACTCTCTCTCTCTCTGTCCATCCCTCTCACTCTCTCTGTCCATCGCTCTCACTCTCTCTCTCTCTATGTTAATCCCTCTCACTTTCTCTCTGTGTGTCAATCCCTCTCACTCGCTGTGTGTGTCCATCCTTCTGTCTATCTGGCCATCTGTCCATGTGCGTGTCCACACACACACACAACTTGGAACACATTGCATCTGCCAGTAACCCTTAGCGATCTTCAAATGTGTCCAATCTCTCCATCCGCGTGACTATCTGTGCATGTGCCCATCCATCCGTGTGACCATCTGTCCGTGCTTGTCTGTGTCCGTCCGCGTGTGGTGCTTGCAGGGCTCCCTGTGTAACGATCTCCTCACCCTCCACTGCTGCTTACCGTGCGCCACGTGCCAGATGCACCGCGAGGTGTCCGTGCGGGGCTGGCACCGGGGACGCAACAGCATGGACGGCCTCCTGCGCTCCGCTGGATTCAACCCCTACGCCGAGCCCGGCATGGGCATCAATACCAGGGCCATGGCCTGAGGCTGGAGGGCCATGCCCCTGAGAGGCCGGTAGCCACGCCCCCCCCCACCCCAGAGGTTGGTGGCCACGCCCCTTCTCTGCCAAGACTGGCGTAGCCATTCCCCTTCCCAGTGGCCACTCCCCATCGTGGTCACCACGCCCCCTCGCGGTGACCACGCCCCTCAGTGGCCACTCCCCTTGAGTGGCCGCTCTCCCTCACGGTGGCCACTCCCCCTCACGGTGGCCACTCCCCAACACGGTGGCCGCTCTCCTCAGTCGCAACTCTCCTCGATGACCAATCCCGCCAAACGTGGCCACTCCCCCTCAACGCGGCCACTCCCCCTCAACGCGGCCACTCCCCCTCAACGCGGTCACTCCCACCCATAGTGGCCACTCCCATCCACAGTGGCCACTCCCCCTCAATGCGGCCACTGCCCCTCACAGTGGCCACTCCCCCTCAATGCGGCCACTCCCACCCACAGTGGCCACTGCCCCTCACAGTGACCACTGCCTCACTCCAGGTCCCGCCCTGTCTCATTCTGATGTCTGCTGGCAGACACTGGCAGAACATAGACAGCTCCCTCGCTCGCCTGCTCGCTCCCACAGCCAGCTTTGTCTCTCCCGGTCTTGATCAACTCTACATGCCCTTCGTAGGTGCTTGCTACTCACTTAACAGCATGTGCCCGAAAAGTACGTGAAGGCTACACGGGGGATGTTTGTATTTTGCGTGGTTTGTGAACGTGGGAAATAAAACTTGAGAACTCTAGACCGGTCTCCACATTCAGTGCCTCGCCATCAGCAGGGTCAGGCTTTGCTTCAACCATTGGTTCAGTACAAAACACTGAACTGGTTGCCACATTCGGCAGGGTGAGGTCGTACAGATGCCACTCACCACAGCAGTCTGAGGGTTCATCTTCTTTGGTTCTTTCGGTAAAGTCACGTAGAATGAGAATAAAATAATGAATTAATAAAATAACACAATAAAATTCTCACGACGTTTCGGCCACGACACAAGTGGCCTTTATCAGGTGAAAGGAACAGACCTGTCGGGACGACGGAGCTTCAATGAACGTTGTTAAGATTCGTAGCGTCTTTTAAGCTGGTTTAGAGAAGTGAGGCACCTTAACAAAGGGGTTTACATATCAAACAGGATAATTTAGCATTGAAATAGCTGCGTGATTAGCTTGTGACTGGTCGCAGACATGGCTATGTTAAAGTAAAAGCCTACACATCCACAGAGGCACCTAGTACAAATCAAACAGGAGAATTTAGCATTGAAATAACTGAGTGATTAGCTTGTGACTGGCCATAGAAATAGCTATGTTAAAGTAAAAGCTTACACATCCACAGAGGCACCTAGTACAAATCAAACAGGAGAATTTAGCATTGAAATAACTGAGTGATTAGCTTGTGACTGGTCACAGAAATGGCTATGTTAAAGTCAAAGCCTACACATCCACAGAGGCCCTAGTACAAATCAAACAGGATAATTTAGCATTGAAATAACTGAGTGATTAGCTTGTGACTGGTCACAGAAATGGCTATGTTAAAGTCAAAGCCTACACATCCACAGAGGCATCTAGTATAAATCAAACAGGAGAATTTAGCATTGAAATAGCTGAGTGATTAGCTTGTGACTGGTCACAGAAATAACTATGTTAAAGTCAAAGCCTACACATCTACAGAGGCACCTAGTATAAATCAAACAGGAGAATTTAGCATTGAAATAACTGAGTGATTAGCTTGTGACTGGTCACAGAAATGGCTATGTTAAAGTCAAAGCCTACACATACACAGAGGCATCTAATATAAATCAAACAGGAGAATTTAGCATTGAAATAACTGAGGGATTAGCTTGTGACTGGTCATAGAAATAGCTATGTTAAAGTCAAAGCCTACACATCTACAGAGGCACCTAGTACATGGACGCCAAAGGGGCTGCAACAACTCGACTATCATATAGTAAACCGATGTGAAAAAACCTAAGTCTAAATTACATCAATATATCTTCTTTGGTTCTTTCGGTAAAGTCACGTAGAATGAGAATAAAATAATAAATTGATAAAATAAAATAACACAATAATATTCTCACGACGTTTCGGCCACAACACAAGCAGCCTTCATCAGGTGAAGGGACGAGACTGTCTGGAGGACAGCACGAGTGAAAAAGCCACGCTCAGATCACGACCTTTAAGCTGTGTGAGAAGAAACAAAGCGCCTTGACAAAGGAATTGGCATATAATTTAGCATTGAAATGGCTGAGTGATTAGCTTGTGACTGGTCACAGAAATGGCTATGTTAAAGTTAAAGCATACACATCCGCAAAGGCACCCCTTGACAAAGGAATTAGCATAGAATTTAGCATTGAAATAGCTAAGTTAAAGTATACACATCCGCAGAGGCACCCCTTGACAAAGGAATTAGCATAGAATTTAGCATTGAAATAGCTGAGTGATTAGCTTGTAACTGATCACAGAAATAGCTATGTTAAAGTCAGAGCATATACATTCACCGAGGCACCTAGTACAAATCAAACAGGAGAATTTAGCATTGAATTAACTAGGCGAATTTAGCATTGAAATAACGGAGTGATTAGCTTGTGACTGGTCACAGAAATGGCTATGTTGAAGTCAAGGCCTACACATCTGAGCTATTCACAGTAACTGTGTATACAATACAATATATAATGAATACTATATAGTGAACCAATAAAAAACTAAAATATAAATTACCTCAATATTATCAATAAACTCTATATTCTACAATCAGATCAGCTACCAACAATAAGTCGTTATATATCACAATGCTATATGGCGAAAAAATGGGTGGATTCTTACCCTCAACTTTAGCAACACGGATAGCTACGGGTCCCGTTCAGACGGACGAGTTCATCCATGGTTGGAACAGGGGAGGGGGAGAGAGACAGCTGCGAGGCGCTATTATACTCCATGTTGTAAACCATACCATTAACCGTGGTGTGAGAGGTATTAAGAGTCAATGCCAGCGAAAGAGCTGCGGTCTGAAGGTCATCGTAAAATACAATTAATGAAGAGCGGAAATGGTTTAAAACATCTTTCCAATGGTCACTAAGCCAGAATCCATCTTCTCGGTTGAAATTGTCTCTGTGCTTTTATATGTGAATGGCCTCATGAACGAATCTCTCATGGTAGCCGGTTGGTTTGCAAAGAACCTCCGTCTTGGAGAAGTCAATGTCATGTGAGCCCACTGAATTATAACAGTGATCTGCCACGGCAGAGGAGTTCATTCTACCGTGTTTCAAGTCTGCTTTATGTTCGCGGATGCGGTCCGAGATATGTCGTTTGGTTTCTCCAATGTAGCTACTACCACAGAGGCACTTTAGTTTGTAAACGCCCGGGTACTGTATGTCTGGAACAGCATCTTTTACAGATGGAACTAGATCACGGATTTTATGTACTGTGTTGAATCGGACCTGGATCTTGTGTTTATTCAGGATTTTGGAGATCTTTTTAGTGACCCCTGCAATGTAGGGTAAGGTGATGGTTTTGAGTGGCTCCACAAGAGGATCCTTCTTCATGACTGGAGTGATGGCTTTGCGGATTGTGTAGTCGGAGTAACCATTAGCCCTGATAGCCTGGTGTACGTGCTTGAGTTCACTGGTAATGTGTTCCTGATCGAAAATGCATTGGGCTCTATGGTATAGAGTCTTGATGAGGGAGTTCTTCTGGGATGGATGGTGGTGGGAATCCAGTTTCAAGTAAGCATCTGTATGGGTAGCTTTCCTGTAGACAGAGTGGCTCATTGAACCATCATGTCTCCTTTTAATTAAGACATCCAAAAAGGGTAGTTTGCCATCTTTTTCAACCTCCATGGTAAATCTGATGGCTGGGTGTATGGAATTGATGTGGTCGCGGAATTGGTCTAGAGCAGGCTGGCCATGTGGCCAGATGACAAATGTGTCATCCACGTACCTCTTCCATAAGGTCGGGCGTAGTGTGACATTCTGGATAGCGTCAGTTTCAAAGTGGCTCATTGAACCATCATGTCTCCTTTTAATTAAGACATCCAAAAAGGGTAGTTTGCCATCTTTTTCGACCTCCATGGTAAATCTGATGGCTGGGTGTATGGAATTGATGTGGTCGCGGAATTGGTCTAGAGCAGGCTGGCCATGTGGCCAGATGACAAATGTGTCATCCACGTACCTCTTCCATAAGGTCGGGCGTAGAGTGACATTCTGGATGGCGTCAGTTTCAAATTTTTCCATGAATACGTTGGCTACAACCGGAGATAGGGGGGAGCCCATTGGGGTGCCCTCAGTTTGTTTGTAGAAAGTTCCATTCCAGGTGAAGTATGTGTTGGTTAAGCAATGTCTCACCAGGGGGGGTACATCAGTATGCAGTCCTTGATGAACCAGGTCTTCAATGATAGCGATGGTGTCAGGTACCGGGACTTTGGTGAACAAGGAGACCACATCAAAACTGACAAGCAGGTCGTCTGGGGACAGGGGAATGCCTTTGATTGTCGATACCAGGTGAGTAGAATTTAGTACCGCAGAGGTGGTTTTTCCAGTGAAAGGTCGCAGTATATCAGCAAGAAAACGTGCCAGTTTATAGGTGGGGGAGTTGATAGTAGAGACGATGGGACGAAGGGGTGTATGTTCTTTGTGTATCTTTGGAAGGCCATATAATCTTGGTGGTCTGGCAGCAGAGGGTTTCAACGAGAACTGTTTGGTCTCATCAATTAATGCTGTTGAATCAGAGATGATTTTGTTCGTTTTGATAACCAGGCTGTTGGTGGGATCTCTTTTTATTTTTGTATAGCTGCCATCGTTGAGTAGTTCTTGAATTTTGTTGTTATATTCTGTTTTGTCCATGATGACAGTGGCATTGCCCTTTCGGCTGAGAGGACGACAATATCACCTCTCTTTTTTAATTGAGATAATTCAAAACGTTCGTCTTTGCTGATGTTGCTGGGTGGCAACTTAGCGTTTTTGAGGGTTGCAGCGTTTTCAGATCTTGCTACGTCTGCAGAGATGTGACTCAAGCCCTTGAGTGCAACGTCGACATGGGCAATCATATCATTAACCGGTAAGTGTCTCGGTGTGACAGCAAAGTTTAGACCTTTAGCTAAAACGGATTTCAGACCATCAGAAATGGAACTGTTACTGCGATTAATTACGACTTTGTTGACGTCTATCTTTTCGGTGTGTGGATCCGATTTTTTGCTGGAGAGGTGATTGAATTTGGAAATCAAATTGTCCCTACATTTGGTCGACATAGTGGCAGCCGAAGAGGTAGTCATATTGTCTACATGTTCCCAATCCGATGTAGACATTGTTGCTGTCAATGTTAAGTGTGATTTGTAAAGTGTCTTGTCTAACTGATCGAGTTCGGTGCGTGTAAGTCTGATTTTTTCCGAGATAAGAGCGAAGCTAGTTCTAGCTAGAATTCGTTTTGCATTGAGAGAAGTTGCAACAGCAGAGGTTAGTGTAAATGCGGTT